TCATCAACTCGATTAATTGTAATGAAAATAAAGTAGAACAAATTCAACACATAATGTTATACTTTGGAATAGCTATATATGCAGCATTAGTAAGTGTCATACTACTAGTAGTATCGCTTTTTATTTCTCTCTTCTTCTCTTCTAGCAACAAAAAATTCAAATTGAAATACAACACGATCATATTAAAAACCAACAAGCACAAATACGAGATATTATATCTGATATCAAGAATGAAGATGATAAATTCCTACGTCGAATCAAGGATTTCGATGCTGCAACCAAGGATTTACTTAATGAAATTAAGAAATTACAGTAAGTTGAGCTGAGTAAATGCTTAATTCGAGTTCAAATATAAATGAAAATTTTGAAAACATGTAAGGGCCATAATAGGCAAAAAGAAAATTATTTTGATTAAAAAAAATATTTATTTCAATTATAAGCGACAATTCAGATGGGATCGTCCTATAACTACAGCAGAAAGATATTTATCAGTTATAAATTACAATTTATCTGGCATTTTCGTAAAACTATTTCACCTTCATTCTAGATCATATGCTCTCTGCAGACTTCTTTCCCTTACTCTCACTCTGACTCTATGTCCTCTGTAATTCTTTCCTCTGTTACCCTCACAAATACAGTTATAGAAAAATCTTATGTGAGTCATAATTTATAATTTCAATAAAATTTCTTTTCTCCTTTTCTTTCATAGTTAGAAGATAGTCCTATCGGAATTATAATTTATAATTGAAGTATTTTTTTCTGCTATAAGCAAGTGCCAGATTCATTTTTGTTTCATTTATTTTCAAAGTGACCTTATAGGCAGTTGAAGCTTCATTTATATTCGAGCCCGAATTAGGCAACTCACAGTCGATCTTGTATTCTCACCTATAAAATTCTTAATCATTTGTTATAGGAAAAATTCTAGTGATCGAGTATTAAACGAAGTCCACGGTGATTTATTAATGCCATTGATCGAACGTATTGAAGATGAATTTAATCAAAACAATAAAGAAAAAAGGAGAAGATTACAGGAATGGTATGATGTCAAAAAATATTACAGATTATCTACATTAGAAAGGATTAAATCTGGAGAAGAAATGAATGATGAACCAATAATATTAATTAATAAAATTCTTCAAGCATTTTGCAATGAAGCAGAGTTGTCAAAGAATGAATTGCTTGAACTTGTATTACATAAAATAGCAATCAATTACGAATCACATGGCTTCATTGAAAATTATTTATATGATGTTATTCATAATCATTGTAAAGAGCACGATTTTATTCGTTATATTGAAAATGAAAATCATGTTACTATTATCATTACCGATGAAGAGAAAGATGTGCTCATGAAATTAGTTCGTATCAACATTGCACTTCGTCGAGATCAAATGTTAGCGTGAGTTGCAAAAAAAAGAAAATCATTATGTTTATAAATTCTTAATATCCCGAAAATGAAAACAAAAATCTTTTTCATTTAGAGAATCAACTATTCATGAATGTTTTGATGATTCACAAGTACTTGATCATAATATTAATGGTCCACTGCGAATAGTCATTATTGACCGATATAAAGTTTGTTTTTTTTTTTATTTTTGAAAAATCAAATTTAAATTTTTTTTTAGGAAAAGGGTACAATTATTATGGGTAAAGTTATATCAGGATATTGTCATGTTGGTGATCAATGTTTAATTATGCCTAATCGAACATCTGTTGAAGTTACAAATATTTATTATGAAGATATTGAAACTAATTCCTGTGTTTATGGACAAAATGTTCGACTTAAATTAAGAGATTTTGAAGACGAAGTTAGTTTCTTTCTTCAATTAATTCTAATTTTCAAAAAACATTTTTTAGGAAATTTTACCTGGATTTATTCTATGCAATATTCAACAAGAACCCTGCAGTGTTGGGCTAGTCTTTGATGCACAAGTAAACGAAAAAATAAATAAAGACTTAATTTTAAAAGCATAAATTTCTTGTAAATAGGTTACCATACTTGAACATAAATCAATCATACGTCCAGGTTATTCAGCTGTTCTTCATATTCATGCAGCTGTCGTTGAAGTTCAATTTAAAAAATTAATAACATTAATTAATCGTAATACTGGTGAAAGAACTCAAGAACATCCAAGATTTATAAAACAAAATCAAGTAGCTATAGCAAGATTTGAATTATCACAATCTGGACAAGCTATTTGTATGGAACCATTTAAACGTTTTCCTCAACTTGGTCGATTTACATTACGTAATGAAGGTCGAACTATTGCCATTGGAAAAGTCCTTGAAATCATCGAGTAAAAACTTTTCTTTTTTTGTCTTTGTTCTTAGTTCACATTTATTCTCCAAAAAAAGATAATAAAAAACTAAAATTTCAATCAACTTGAGAATAAAATATTATATTTGTTCATTAATATTTCATTTCAAATTTGTTTATTACTCTGAAGTTAAGTATTTAATTCAAAGTAATAAAAAGTTTTCATTTCGATTAAAATCTTCAATAATCTAATAGAAATTCTGCGCTTAGTCAATCAAGTAAAAGATTTAATCAATATAGTGATTGAAGAAAAAACAAATTAAGCTTGACATTTTGAAAACATTATTAACCTCATCCAATTGAAATACTTATTTTACGCAAGATTCCCTTCAAAAACATACTACATTTTTAAATATAATGCTAAATTATGGAGACAAAAACTAATGATATAACGAAAGAGATGCGAAGTTATAGAGGCATGTCTATAAATGAGACTCTAGATGGCGTATATAGTTTAATCACATAGTTTAGTTAATATTCATTTTTTATTTGTTAAACTATTAGAATATATATGACACGTACGTTTAACAACTTTATTTCACTCGCTTATTAAATTGATAAAAAAAGAAAGTCGTATAGATAAAAAAATTGTTGATAACAATCAATTATGAATTGTAAGAGATTAGGTTGGAGCATAAAGAAAAAAAACAGCATGAGAGGAAAAATGAACTATTAGCAAAATATTATGTGCACACAGTGAGGAAAAAATGAATGGCAACAGGATTGAGTCAAGCTTCGATCATTTTACCATTAATTTCATAACTAAATGCTTCAAAATGTTTTTGATCTTCATCATATAATGGAGGAGGAAAAATTGCTCGTGTTAATATTGGTTCTTCTGATGTAAATTCTATATCAAAATTTAAAAACATCATGTGCACTTCGCTCGAGATAATAAAAGAATAATATATTGAAAAAATAAACTCTTTCCTTTCAAAGTAGAAAATACAAACTATAATAGGAACAATAGGCTGCTTAACTTTCTTTGCAAGCAGATCTTTTCATATAATATTCTAAATAAAACAAAATACAATCTTGTTTAATAATGAATATTTCAATAATAATAAACCTTTTAAGGATACTCCCTTTTCGGACATGAAAAAAAGGAGGAGGGTGGATAAAGCCATTTTGCGGCCTCCCTTAGAATTGATTTATTTCTATCAGATTCGAAAAAGGACTCGTTTCTGATCACTTTTTTCAACTTTATTTCTTGAAAAACGACATTGATTATTTTTGTGCCTGGGTCTTCCTCAGGTACCATGAGAAAAAAATTTTTCTTTTCGTGAGCCGAAACCTGATAGACTTGTAGATTTAGAGGTACTAATTACGAATATCACAACGAGAGCTCTCAAAACTTCTTTATTCCTCAAATAGTTCTAACCACTCTGTGGACCCTATTTTTTATTGTTAAGACCCCTATGAAATAACTATTGGTTAAAATTTAGTGAGAAATATTTTTTTCTAGCTCAGAATTTTGAGCTCTCTATGAATCTAAACTTTTTATGCCGAAAAAATGTGTCTTTAGGAAAAAATGGTGATTCCAGTGCAGAAATTGACTCTTTTTAAATACATAGGTTTTTATCGTCATAACTTTTGTACGAAGACAGTCTAGCCGCAACGTGAAATTTTGATTCTAAGGATAGTTTTTGAAGCTCTAGCGGGTGATGACCTCCAAAATAAAGAAAAAGTTGTGCAACAAGATCAAAAGTTATGAATACCATTAAATTCTATAAAATTCCCATAGGGGACCACAGGCACGAGTACATGTGAGATCTTGAAATCAACTGATATATAGCCCATTTTGTAGAGGTTAATGAACTATGCATACAATGACAACATTATGGCTCTATGCTGTTTCTATCAACCCAAAAATTTTATTCCAGTGCAATGATCTCCGAAATCTTGTTAAGCACATATCTCTCGAAAGACAGAACCGAGAGCCGTAATGTTTTTACTGTATGCATAAAGGGTGTTTTATAAGTTTCGACCCCCTTTTTGTTTTTTTTCTTGTTTTTTCATATTCCATCGTAGACTGATTGTCAAGAGAGATTATTAAAGAGCAACACTTAAGCTTTCAAATGAAAAAAAAATGATCCTATTAGCATGAGTTTTACGGGAAAACCACATCGATCAAAAGTTTGAAAAATTTTCTCAACATGCATTTTCTACTTTTTGTATATTACATGTTAATTTCTTTAAAAACAAAAATGAGAAATACATCGGGTTTATTATGAATATCAATTATTACAACAATGACAAGTGGAGTATTCAATAAAAAAAATATTCAAAAATCGTTCTTAAGAATTCTTCGACCACGTTGTTGAATCACTGCTCGTAATCTGTTCGAAATACTGGACATCATTCGAAAACATACATTTGTATCGAAACTCTTCCATATGTTCAAAATTTCTGTCTTGACTTGAGATAAATTTTGATAGTCTTTTTTCATTAACTTCGTTCGAATTATAGACCAAATATTTTCAATTGGCCACACATCGTCCAGTTTTGATGCTTGATCCATCGGCATTATTCGATCAGGCATATTTTCATCAATAAAATCAAGTACATGTTTTGCACGATGAATAGAATCACAGTCGTCTTGAAAGATATAATCACGATGAGGATAAACTTCTTCAATTGCAGGTATTATCCGTTCTTGTAACAAATCAATGTATCTGTTGCCGTTCATTGTTCTTTTTGGTTTATGGTTCCACTGATAACCATCCAAAAACTCATCGATAAATATTGGTCCATCTTCAGGTATTAAACCACGACTACTAATTGCCCCCCACATAATAAAACCTTTCGTAAATTTTTCTACAGGTGCTTCTAAAAGTGCACGTGGTATTGACTCACGAGTGGCACCATACACGATGTTATTCTTCATATTATACACGGCAGTCAATCCAATCATACCGGAATAATCAGAGTTAATAACAAAATCCCATAAGAATTTCTTGGATCGTGGGCTACCTCCATATTTACGTAATAAAATTTTTGCACTTTTCATTCGGTTTTTGACGTTATCATTAGTCAACTTGGTTGATTTAAATTTTCGAAATGGTTTAATTTTAAGATCAGTTTTAATAGCACGATTAACACTTGCTAAAGACATTTCTAATCGGATTGCCGTAGATCGTTGACCAGGATTTCGTGCTTGATGATAATGTCTTTGGTTAATTTGTTCAATATTTTCAACAGATCTTGCCGTTTTCTTTCTTCCACTTCTTGGCTTGTCTTCAAGAGTTCCTCGTGATATAGTTCGTTTACATAACGATAATAAACCAGTGTATGATAATCCATCAATATCATGATTTTTCCAAATGTTTGTAGCAATTCTTTTATATCCCCATTGGTATTTTTCTAGTAAATGTAAGATCAAGGTTCGTAGAACTAAATTTTTCCGATGACCTTTCACAGCAACGTTCTCAAAGATGGAAGACATTCAACTCAATTTCTGATTGTCAAAATGTTCAGCCGAACAATCTGATCATTGTCTATTGTATATTTAGATAAAAATCTACGCAAATTTCTGAGAGTGAGGGTGTGAGGGCCATGCTTTTAATTTTCCATTGGGTCAGTTATGACAGTGTAATGCTGTAGATTACTTAGTACATACCTACTAATGCATGATCTTTCATGTAAGTGCAACGCAGAAAAAGAACAAGAAAGATACCTCGGGTCTTATGAATTAGTATACAGCTGTCCTATCGCAATTTTAATATACAAAAAGTAGAAAATGCATGTTGAGAAAATTTTTCAAAATTTTGATCGATGTGGTTTTCCCGTAAAACTCATGCTCATAGGATCATTTTTTTTTTCATTTGAAAGCTTAAGTGTTGCTCTTTAATACTCTCTCTTGACAATCAGTCTACGATGGAATATGAAAAAACAAGAAAAAAAACAAAAAGGGGGTCGAAACTTATGAAACACCCTTTAGTTCACTAACCTCTACAAAATGGGCTCTATATCAGTTGATTTCAAGATCTCACATGTACTCGTGCCTGTGGTCCCCTATGGGAATTTTATAGAATTTAATAGTATTCATAACTTTTGACCCTGGGTGTGGGTGTGAGTGTGCCGGTGTGGGTGGGGGTGTGGGTGGGTGTGGGGTGTGGGGTGATGTGTGGGTGTGGATGTGGATGGGTGTGGGTGTGGGTTGTGGGTGTGAGTGTGGGTGGGTGTGGGTGTGGATGGGTGTGGGTGTTGGTGATGTTCTTCCCGTCATACACACCACACCCACACCCACACCCACATCCACCCACACCCACACTCACACCCACACACCCACACCCACACCCACACCCACACCACCCCACCCACCCACACCCACACCCCACACACCCACACCCACACCCATACTCACACCCACACCCACACTCACACCCACACCCACACCCACAC